TGCTGCCAGGACAGGCCTCTGACATGACTTACTCCTTGCTGGCCTCCAGGTATCCTGTGAGAACATAACTGCCTACTCCAACACTAACATAGTCTAGAAAATATGAAAGTTCTAATTTATATTAGAGTCTTTTGTTTAGATTTTACAGAAGATATAAAAGTAAAAAAAAATAGGTATCAGGAGGAAACTAAAAGCTGAACAATTATTTTTGTATAATTTCAACAATTTAAAAAATATAATCAATCTTGTTCTTATGTTAACAATATGTTACTGTGCTATGATTTACAAACAATACACCTAGATAAAGTGTACAATTTGATGAATCTCGACAAATGTATACACCCTTATAACCATCAGCCAGACCAAACTTTATGGAACATCAACTCAGGAAGTTTCCCTCATGTAAGTTTCCAGCCATAATACTTCAAAGAAGTCACCACTCTTCTGATTTCTAGACTATAACTCATTTTTGCCTCTTCCATCTGTTCTGGGACTTTATGTAACTGGAATCAGACATGAGTAACACACAGGAACATTAAAATAACTACATTTCAAGGGCGCCTGGGTGGTCCAGTCAGTTAAGATCTGACTCTTGATTTCTGCTCGGGTCATGATCTCAGGGTCATGATCTAGGGTCGTGAGATCGAGCCTCGCATCAGGCTCTGGGCTGGGCATAGGCCCTGTTCTCTCTCTCCCATCCCTCTGCCCCTCCCCTGCTCACTCTCTCTCAAATGAATGAATAAATTTTTTTTAAAGCTGTTTTAGACATTCAAAAACGTTCTTTTGCAGAGGCATCCTTTGCTGAACATACTGTTTTGGAGGGATTTATCCATGTTATTGTGAGCATACGTCATTTGGTCATGTGTATTGCTGAATAGTAATCCACAGAATATAAAAATGTATCAGTTCCCCTGTTGATAGACATTTGGGTTGTTTCTAGTTTTTGCTTAGTATGACTAACACTGCTGTAATCATTTTGTAGAAATCTTTTTGGATGTATACATTCATTTCTCTTGGTAAATAAATAGGAGTACTATTGCTGGGTCATAGGACAGGTGTATGTTTAACTTTATGAAGAATTCCCAAAAATCTTTCCAAAGTGGTTGTGCTAGCTTACAGTCCTACTAACACCACACAGCAATATCATTACACAGTCTATAAGGAGTTAGGAGAAGGATTAGGCAGCAATAACAACTTTCAAAATTAGTTTTTCCAAACTACCTTTCTTCATCTTCTTCCAAATCCTTTGAAAGAGGTGTGGAGATGGCCATGGTCACACCAATAAGGTTCTACTACTGGCCTATCCAAGCCTGACAGCAGAGCCACAGAGACAGTAATCCAGGGCATCCCACCCAAGTCTTAGGCTCTTAAACCCTTGATGGGAATCTGTCAGTAGTAGTAGGCAGCCAGCTAGCACCAGCTCTCAAAGTTGGCTGTTAAATCCACAGGAATCTGCCATTATTAAAAATTAAAGTAGGGGTGCCTGGGTGGCTCAGTCATTAAGCGTCTGCCTTCGGCTCTGGTCAGGATCCCAGGGTCCTGAAATCGAGCCCCGCATCAGGCTCCCTGCTCTGAGGGAAGCCTGCTTCTCCCTCTCCTGCTCCCCCTGCTTGTGTTCCCTCTCTCGCTGTGTCTCTCTCTGTCAAATAAATAAATAAAATCTTCAAAAAAAAATTAAAGTATATCAACTTAACAAATAAATTATATCAGAGGCGCCTGGGTGGCTCAGTTGGTTAAGCGACTGCTTTCAGCTCAGGTCATGATCCTGGAGTCCCGGGATCAAGTCCTACAGTCCCGGGATGGAGTCCCACATCGGGATCCCTGCTCGGCGGGGAGTCAGCTTCTCCCTCTGACCCTCTCCCCTCTCATGCTCTCTCTCTTATTCTCTCTCTCTCAAATAAATAAATAAAATATTAAAATAAATAAATAATAAATAATATCAAAAACAAAATAAACAATACCCAAAACACATCACTTCCTAATTATTTTACATTTTACTATTATCTATGCTCTTGGGGTTATTTGTGTGTATTGTATTTTTTTTTAATTGTGGTTAAATATGCCACAGTTGGTTAGTTACAGGAAATAATGTTGTTATGAACATGGGTGTACAAATATCTGAGTCCCTCCTTTCAATTCTTTTGGGTATATACCCAAAAGTAGAATTGTTGGATTGTATGATAATTCTGTTTTTAATTTTTTGAGGAACTGTTATACAGTTTTCCATAGGGGCCACACCATTTTACATTCCCAACAGTGCACAAGTGTCCCAATTTCTCCACATCCTTGACAACACTTGTTATTTTGTTATTTTGGTTTTTTAAATAGGAACCATCCTAATGGATATAAGGTGGTACTTATATTTATATAGTAAAAATACTATATCATATCCCAACTCTATATTCAGTGATGTCTCATTGGTAGCTTAAAATTGGCCACAGTGACAGTATTTACCCCACAGAGATAGGCAAATGCTACAGACCAGAGTTTTATCCCCTAGAGTACTTGTTGTTAGACACTTACCAACACACCAGCGAAATGGAGGCCCAGGAGGTGGGAAGCAATGTTTGTGTTTGTGTTATGTTTGTGTTATGTTTGTGATTCTTTTCACAATCTCAGTTGCTGTGACCAAACTATTGCTTGTACTTGCCATCTATCCGCTCCATTCCAGCAAGTAGATTTTACTGGACTCTGACATAGGCCATTTTCAATGGCTTTTTGGCAGCCCAGGTAACTGTTGAGACCTGAGTGAAAGAATAAATAAATCTATTAGATCTATAAATCAGCACCACATTGAGTATCCATATGCAAAGAGATAAATTATTTTAAGGACTTTGACAAAGTGGAAAGTAACTTGTAGAGCCAGAATGAAATGCAAAACACACATTAGCAGAGTATAATGTTGATTGAGATTTTTTTTTTTTTTAAAGCAGCGCAAGAACAATAATCTACAAGTTGGGTGAAATAGGGAGTTTGAAAGGTTAAGATGACTTCTTGTTAAATGAAACCCCTACAAGTTTTCCTAATGCAAGGGAAAGAAATTCAGCGTTGCATTGAGATATATTAATTATTATGGAGTGAAAAAGCAAGACATCATTATGCTAAATTTATTAGTCATTATACTCTAGTTTTTGGTCACTATGCTCTTGAAAGGGTCTAGAGGGTAAAATCTGGACAGTTCCCAAAGAGGAACAGTAAGAATCACTAGAGGCTTTGAGGTGCCTGGGTGGCTCAGTTGGTTAAGTGTGCAACTCTTGATTTTGACTCAGGTCATGATTTCAGCGTCATGAGATTGCGCCCTGCATCAGGCTTTGTGCGGGGTGTGGAGCCTGCTTAAGATTCTCTCTCTCCCTCTGCTCCCCTCTCCCCCCTAAAAAAAAAAAAAAAAGAAAGAAAGAATCACTAGAGGCTTTAAAAAATTGATGAAGGAAAAGCCAGAAGAATTGTTTTTATTGCAACTATCTTCAAGAAAATAAAGATGTTGAGAAAATATTGTTTTGATTTTTTCTGTACAAAAGCAAGATTGAGACTCTTGATCTTGCGGTGGTGAGTTTGAGCCCCACATTGGGTATAGAGATTACTTTAAAATTTTTGATTGGTAGTATCAGTAAAAGAGTACCCAGATATTAAAACTGGCTGGTAAGACAGGTGCCTGGGTAGGTCAGGGTTAAAGCGTCTACCTTCGACTCAGGTCATGACCCCGGGGTCCTGGGATTGAGCCATTAATGAGGATCCCTACCCAGCGGGAAGCCTGCTTCACCCTCTGCCTCTCCCCCTGCTCATGCCCCATCTCTTGCTCTGTTGCTCTCTTTCTCTCTCTCAGATAAATAAATAAAAGCTTAAAAAAACTGGTAAGAGAGGGGGGGTTCTCCATTGATAGAGATTTAGGGAGAAACAGGCAGCCTTGTGTTGCATATGGCAGGCCCTCAGAAGGCAGAGCTTTCTCAGGGTCTCTAGCGACCAACATTCTAATTCTGTGATTACAACTTGAGACATGGAACCCTGAGTCCTTCCCATGGCACTATTGCTGATGTCCCAGCGACTTCGGATTTGAGCTCTGGTATCTCAAACTTTGTTTCTGCCTTCATGACTCTCAAAACCTGTGGGTGATAAAAAGGCTTTCTGATTTCTGAAGGAACACGCCCAGGAAACTTCATCTCAACTCTAAGAATAAAAATACTCAACTCTTGGGGCATCTGAGTGGTTCAGTCAGTGAAGTGACTGACTCGATTTTGGCTCAGGTCATGACCTCAGGGTCATGGGATTGAGGCCCATGTTGGACGCTGTGCTCTGCACGGAGTCTGCTTGAGGTTCTCTTTCTCCCTCTCCCTCTGCCCCTCCCCCGACTCATGTGCGTATGCGTGCATGCGTGCGCTCTCTCTGAATAAATAAAATCTTGAAAAAAAAATACTCTTACTCCAGTTTAAAGCCCATTTGACTTCATTTGTTTATTTCTTTTTTTGAGATTTTATTTGTTTGAGGGAAGGGCAGGGGAGCACAGAGGGAGAGTGAAAGGAGAAGCAGGCTCCCCGCTGAGCAGGAGGAGCCTGACGTAGGACTCGATCCCAGGACCCTGAGAACATGACCTGAGCCGAAGGCACACTTAACCGACTGAGCCACCCAGGTGCCCCTCGTTTGTTTATTTCATTGTTTACTTGTTTGTTTGTTTTAACCTAAAAGACCTCTGGACCCCCCTCTTTCTCCTCATAGCACCATCTCCCCCTACTTGCTGTATCCTTCCTCCAACCCAATGGGTCATCAGGGCCCTCCTGGCTCTTCAAGGGGGCACGTCGTAGGTTTCATTCTTTACCTCTTCGTAGGTTCCCCCCCCTTTATGCTCCTAAGGGATCCTATTTAGTAATCCAACTCTATAAACCATAATTTTGTTTTGATTCCTCTAGGTAGCTTTGGAGGAAAGCCTGGCCATTGTGGAGACCCAGACACATTTCTCTTCCATCTTTCCTTTTAAAGGAAGCAGGAAGAGGGTTCTTCATGAGAAAATGCTCCAACTAAAAGCTGGAATGCAGCAGCCCCTAGAGAGGGGACCTGCTGAGAGGAGAGTGGATGGGCAGCAGACTCAGCCTGAGGAGGCAGAGTCGGCCTCTGTGTCCTGCAGCAGGTAAGAGATTCCACTGTCAGAATTAAATCAGGGCTCTCACAGCAGCTTGGGGGTCTGCATCCAGGCTCTGTAGTTTAATTATAGGGCTTTCTCATAAGACATTCCTGGAAATTCTTTAGAGAAAAACCTAGAGTGTTTTTATTATCAGTTACTTTTATATTCAGAGACATTTGGTTTTATTCTAAATAACAATGCATATACTCACCAAATATATCATCTTCATGGTGTTTGGCATTTCATAGAACTCTTCCAGTCACATTAGTAATGTCTCTTTTCTGCAGTGATGAGAGCACCTAAGAATCTCCTGTTACCTCAGGAGATTTCAGGACAATCAGATTGTCCCTTGTTTCTGGAATGGCAATTTTGTTAAGCTCAGTTCTTAAAATAAGCTTACAAAATTGCCAAGTAACAGCCTGTTGGCTACATTTATCAGTGTTTTTAATGGCTGTTTGCTTACAACTTTTTGAAGGCATTAATATGGAGTTAATCCATTATACATTTACCTGTGAACACCAGTTACTGACATACCACATCATAACTCACTTGCTTAGAAGTTGGGGCACACCTCTGAAGGTGCTTCATGCTCCACTGGGTCACTGTCAATATGTACCACTTAAATTTCAACTGACCCAGAGCAGAATGTTAGAGCTAAAATAATCTTAGAATCAGTTCATTTTGTTTCCTCATTTCTGACCAGAGAACATTCAGGCCCATACAGTTGCTTGATCAAAGTTGCAGCCTTTGGCAGAAGTAATATTAGAATCTTGGACTCTTAATCCACAAAGCCTACACCCGCTTTGTCAAATACATTTTAAAAATTTTATATTCAGGGGCGCCTGGGTGGCTCAGTCGTTAAGCGTCTGCCTTCGGCTCAGGTCATGGTCCCAGGGTCCTGGGATGGAGCCCCACTTCCGGGAATCCCTGCTCAGCGGGAAGCCTGCTTCTCCCTCTCCCAGTTCCCCTGCTTGTGTTCCCTCTCTCACTGTCTCTGTCAAATAAATAAATAAAATCTTTTAAAAAAATTTATATTCATGTGAATATCCCTTTTTTTTTAAAAAGAAGACTGTTTTTAGAGCAGTTTTAAATTCAGAACAAAATTGAATGGAAGCTAAAAAGTTTCCCTGTATCCCCTGTCCCTGCCCCATCCCTGCCCATGCATAGCCTCCGCCCCCGATATCAACATGCTGTCCCAGAGTGGTATATTTGTTACAATCAATGAACGTACATCGACACATCATTATCACTCAAAGTCCATAGTTTACATTAGGATTCATTCTTGGTGTTGTACATTCTTTTGTATTTTGGACAAAAGTATAATGATATGTATCCACCACTATAGTAATATATAGAATGACTCTTCATTGCCCTAAAAAATAGTCTGTGCTCTGCCTACTCATTTCTCCTTCCTTTTTAATCCCTGGCAACCACTGATCTTTTTACTGTCTGCACGGTTTTGCCTTTCCCAGAATATCATATAGTTGCAATCGTACACTAGGTAGCGTTTTCAGATGGTTTCTTTCATTTAGTAATAAACATTTAAGTTTCCTTCATGTCTTCTCATTCTTGATTGCTCCTTTTTCTTTAGTGTTAAATAATATTACATTTTCTGATGTACCAGTTTATAAATTCACCTACTGAAGGACATCTTGGTTGCTGCCAAAATTTTGGCAATTATGAATAAAGCTGCTATAAGCATTGTGTGCAGATTTTTATGTAGATGTAAATTTTCAGCTCATTTGAGTAAATAGTGAGAAACACAATTGCTGGATCATATGGTAACAGCATGTTTAGTTTTGTAAGAAACCGCAAAACTGTCTTCCCGAGTGGCTGTAGCATTCTGCATTCCCACCAGCAATGATGAGGGAATCTGTTGCTCCACATCCTCACTAGTATACGGTGTTATCAATGTTCTAGATTTTTACCATTCTAATATGTGGTATCTCGTTGTTTTAATTTGCAATTCCATAATGACCTATGATGTTGAGCATCTTTTCATATGCTTATTTGCCATTTGTGTATCTTCTTTGATGTCTGCTCAGGTCTTTTTCCCATTATTTGATTGGATTGTTCATTTTCTTTATTTAAAAATTTTATTTATTTATTTGAGAGAGAGAGAGAGAAAACATGAGGGGGGGAAGGGCAGAGGGAGAAGGAGAAGGAGGCTCCCCGGCTCCCCGCTGAGCAAGGAGCCCAACGCAGGGCTCAATCCCAGGACTCTGAGGTCATGACCTGAGCCAAACGCAGATGCTTACCTGACTGAGCCACCCAGGTGCCCCATTCATTTTCTTTTTGTTGAGTTTGGGGAGTTCTTTGTATATTTTTGCTAATAGTCCTTTATCAGATATGTCTTTTGTAAATATTTTCTCCATGTTTGTGATTCTTATTCTCTTGACCATGTCTTTTGCAGAGCCAAAGTTTTTAATTATAATCAAGTCCAGATTATTGTTTCTTCTATGGATTGTGCTTTTGGTATTTGTATCTAAAAATCCTCACCAAACTCAAGATCGTTTAAACTTTCTGCTTTTTTATCTTCTAGGAGGTTTATATTATGTGTTTAACATTTAGGTCTGTGATGTATTTTGAGCTAATTTTTGTGTTGCCTTTGCTCCTTTTTCAAAGATCAACTATATTTTTGTGGGTCTGTTTCTGGGCTGTCTATTCTGTTCCATTGGTTTGTTCATTCTTTTACCAATATCACACTTTCTTGATTACTAATAACTTTATAATAAGTCTTGAAGTCAGTAGTGTCAGTCCTCTGAATTTGTTCTTCTCTTTGGCTATTCTGGTTCTTTTGCCTCTCCATAAACCTTAGAATTAAGGTTTATCAATATCCACAAAATAACTTGCTGGGATTTTGATTGGGATTGCTTTGAATCTTTGCATGAAGTTGGGAAGAACTGACATCTGACAATATTGGATCTTCCTACCCATGAACATGGAATATCTCTCCACTTACTTAGTTCTTTTTACTTTTCTTTCATCGGTGTTTTGTCATTTTCCTTATATAGATCTTGTACATATTTTGCTAGATTTTTAAATAAGTATGCCATTTGGGAGATGCTAATGTAAATGGTATTGTTTTCAGTTTCAAATTCCACTTGATCATTGCTGGTAGATAAGAAAGCAACCTGACTTCTTAATCACTTTATAGCTCCAAGAGTTTTTTGTCAATCCTTTCAGATTTTCTGCATAGACAATTGTGTCATTTGCAAACAAAGACAGTTTTATTTCTTCCTTTCCGATCTATAAACCTTTTATTTCCTTTTTTTGTGTGTCTTATTGCATAATCTAGGATTTCCAATGTAATGTTTAAAAGGAGTAGTGAGAGGGGACACTCTCACCTGGTTTCTGATCTGAGTGTAAAACTTCTAGTTTCTTACTACTAAGTATGATGCTAGCTGTATGTTTTTTGTAAATATTTTTTTATCAAGTTGAGGAAATTTTCCCCTGTATTCCTAGTTTGCCAAAAGGTTTTCTTTTTTTTTTTTCAATCATGAATGGGTGTTGGATTTTGTCAAATGCTTTTTCTGCATCTATTATGTGATTTTTCTTCATTAGCCTGTTGATATGATGAATTACATCAATTGATTTTCAAATATGGAAATCAGCTCTACATTATCTGGAATAAATCTCACTTGGTGTGTTGTATAATTCATCTTATACATTGTTGGATTCAATTTACTAATGTTTTGCTGAAGATTTTTGTGTCTGTGTTCATGAGAGATATTGTTCTATAAGGGTTTTTTTTCTTCATCTGGTTTTGATATTAGGGCAATGTTAACCTCATAGAATGAGTTGGAAAGTATCTCCTCTGCTTCTATCTTCTGTAGAAAGACTGCAGAGAATTGGTATAATATTTTTCTTAAACATTTGGTAGAATTTACTGTGAACTCATCTGGACCTGGTGCTTTCTGTTTTGGAAGGTTATTAATTATTTTTTTAAATTTTTATTTATTTTTTAAAGTAAGCTCCATACCCAGCATGGAGTCCAACGTGGGGCTTGAACTCACAACCCTGAGATCAACACCTGAGCTAAGATCAAGAGTCCGATGCTTAACCGACTGAGCCACCCAGGCATCCCAGGAAGGTTAATAATTATTGATTCAGTGTCTCTAATAGACATGGTCTATTCAGATTGTTTATTTCTTCCTGTGTGCACTTTGGCAGATTGTGTTTTTCAAGGAACTGGACCATTTCATCTAGGTTATCAAATTTGTGGGCATAGAGTTGTTCGTAGTATTTCTCTATTATCCTTTTAGTGTCCATCAGCTCTATAGTGATCCTCTCTTTTATTTCTGGTATTAGTAATTTGTGTCTTCTCTCTTTTTTTCTTAGTCTGGCTAGAGGCTTATTGATTTTATTGACCTTTTCAAATAACCATATTTTTTAAATGAAATTACCTTAAAAAAATTTTTTTTTGAGAGAGAGCATGCATGAGCAGGGGGTGGGGGTAGGGGCAGAAGGAGGGGGAGAGAGAGAGAATCTTAGGCAGGTTCCATGCTCAGAGTGGAGCCCAATGCAAGGCTCAATCTCATGACCCTGAGATCATGACCTGAACCGAAATCAAGAGTCAAATGTTTAACTGACTGAGCCACCCAGGTGCCCCTACCTAGATACATTTTAACTGTCATTGTGATAAATATTATTTATTATTGGGAAACTGGCTGAGAATAAATAATAGACCTATTAGAATCCAGAATAATAAATGTATTCCAGAAAAAGGCCTTGTCTTAAAAGTAGAATAGCCTTGTTTATCTCAGAGACCCCTGAAACTCAGAGCAAGAGGATACTGATGGTACTGATAGTGAGAGTTTGGAGCCAAAATTTTTTAATGGTTTTTCCACCAACTAATGATGGGAGCTCAGGTATATTCCTCCCCATTCCAGCTTTATTGAGATATTATTCACATATATCAGATATATTTCTTACTCTTTGTGGGTCTCAGTGTCTTCATCTGTAAGATAAGATGAGGCCTCTTCCTGCACTAGTATTTTCTACAT